TCAGAGTCTTGGGTATCCACATTACAAAAATGGTGAGGCTAAAAATGATCCCTTTAGTTATCCTTATTCTACGTTAAATAATGACTCCACATCCAAATACCTCCACCTCTTAGAATCAAAATTACAGGTTATTTTAATATGCAAATCCAAATGCATATGTATATGCATGAAAAATACAATTGGCTATACACATTAAACTTCTGAATGGAATACAGATGGTCACAGAATAACATTTGTTTTCTCTAAAATATTTCATAATTCAGCTTGCTGTAATATATACTTAATATAACCAATTGAAAAGCATTGAATGTGTTTTTCTATTACTGCATAACTGGTTAACATGAACTGAATACCTTAAAACAATGTCCATTTTTTTAGTTAACAGTGTTGTAGGTTTTGTAAAGTTTTGGCATCACATGACTGGGTTCTCTATTCAGGGTCTTACAAGGTTATCATCAAAGTTTCTGCTGGGCTACCTTCCTTTCTAGAGGTTCTAGGGGATAATCTTCCAAGTTCATTCAGATTGTGAGCTGCAATCAGTTCCTTTTGGTCACAGGACTGAAGTCCTCTCCTCCTTCCTAGATTTAATTCAGGGATCATTATCAGCCTCTCAAAGTCATGCATTGCTACCCACAGAGCTCCCTTCACCTTGAAATCCAGCAAGAAATAATTTACCATGTGTCGAATCTCTCTAGCATTGAATTTATGACTTTCTTTGTTTCTGAGCTCTAAACCATCGTTATAAATCATCTTTGTAATCACCTCCATTGTCATCATCATCATCATCACCATCATCATCAGTCTTCCAAGAGTCAGGTCTTCTTTAGGTGGAATTTATAGGATAGGTCCAACCATGATTAGAATTCAATTTCTCTTCCATTATGTTCCATTATGGGAATCAAGGGATATGAGCAGACATCAATTTTGGTGTCCTTAAAATTTCAATAGCACTTGAGAAATCCCCACACCTCTGGCTGAAGGTTAAAACATTCTGTGGCAGGGAACTCTTAGAAAGGTTATCAGAGTCTAATCCCTAATGCTTGTTAAGTTCTAATGACTCCCAAGGAATGGACAGCTGGCCCAATCTGGACTTGTCAAGAAGGCAGTCACAAGGATGTGAGCCACCAGCTGAGTATCTGGATCCAGGGGAGGAGATAACCAGGCAAAAGGGGGAGGGTATTCTAGATGGAAGGGATCAGTTCGTCATAGGCACTGAGATGGAAAAGAGAGGTGTATCTGCAGAACCGCAGAAGTGGGAAAGGTCCCTCGCACACACGGTTCTGATTTATGAATCACGCAACTCGATCTCACACCACATGGAGCATGGATTTGTGCAGGTTGTAGGCAGAAGGATGAGTGTGACAAGGGCAAGAGCATGGGCAGGTCTTCAGAGCACGGAACTTACAGGAACAACCCAGGGGCCCCCAACCTAAGAGAGGACTGGATGGCTCTGAGGGCAGCCAGACCAAAACCTTGTTCACAGGCTTTGTCCTGTGGGACAGGGGTGAGCTAAGTAATCACACAGGCCAGAGGGTGGGAATGGGCTGTTAACAAGAGATATCTTACAGTCACCCTAAATGAAAGGCATCATCTGTATAAATAATGTTCCTGCCTCAGGTCTGGATGTTTCTGAGGAATCAGAGAGAAGGTATGAAATCAGACTTTCTAGTTGTAGGAAGGAAGAAGACATCAACAGCTTGGAAAAGGTCTGGCCTGGAAACAGAGTGAAGAAAAACAAAACAGGAAGGAGATAAGGGACAGGGGGGAACCTATAGCTGCCGTGAGAAGCATCAATAATTCCTTTGCAGAAAATGATAACAATTAGACGACCACTAATTGATGTGAATTCTGGAAGCTATGATATGCAATTGAGTCTTTAGAAACGTCTATAAAGAGTTAGATCACAATGGTCCCATTTGTAGCTACTTCTATCCCAGATACTAGGACGCAGAAGGAGACATCTCCAGATTCTTCCTCCTCCATATTCTCGGTGCCCTCATTCATGATGTGGTTGACTATTATAAAGCTGACTGTCACAAATGCATACTGATAACCTATTTTGAATAAGTTTAAACTATCAATGTGACTATAGAGAAGGAGGCGTTAGGATATAGCAGAAACAATTCCCTACCACCAAAGGCAGAAGAAAACCAAACTACGTTTCTCAGTCATTTTTACCACTTACATAAAAAAACCAGAAAATATTTGACTTTATTTCAATTCCTCTAAGAAACTCTCTTACCCCTCCCTAATATCCCCAAGAAGTATGAAACGTTCAAATTATTGCAGACTTCTTTACGTGTCCTCCTTTTTCAAAAACTGTTTATATTCTGTTTTTTATTTTATTTTTAAATACCCTTTTGATGTGCTAAATAGGTTAGCCTTTCATCTTTAATAAAGATTTAAATTTCCAAAGGTGCATTTTTGAAGCTGAGCAAACAACTAGGTTAAGACAAAAAAAATAAAAAAGAACACTGAAAGCTGTGTATCTGATTTTCTCCAGTGAAATATCTGTAAATCGCTTGTATTATTCAAATGCAGATTCACATATTAGAGATTTCCAAAGTACAAAATAATTAAGCTTGATGAAGACTGAAATTATAGAGGTATATGGAGGGGGAAATAATTAGGCAATGTCGCCGGCACTTAACACTATTATTTAATACACATTTAACAGAATTATTGAGTACGTATCATGAGCTGTGAGCTAGGGAATACAACGTATAGTGTAAAGAACCAAACATTTTCATGGGATTTTTCTATCTAATTTGGCAGCTCACGGATGTGCTCTATCCAAGACACGTGGGACCTAAGAAAAGAAATCAACTCCCATCAAATCAAATGTGGGAGGAGGAAAGGTTTTAAGAATTTAAAAGGTAATTCTATAGATGTCACATCTGTAATGCAGCCAGTCCTAATAACTAAACTGGTCTCTTTGACCTTCAAGAACAAAATGGTCCTGGTCTTCTGGGCTGTTCTCTGCCCACACAGATCCCTCCACTAGCACACAATCTATACGGCCACCATCCCCTAGTGCCCACCAGTGGACAGTGTCGCTTATTTTACATCCTCAAGAGGAAGAGCCCAGTATCTTAAAGGCTGGTCACTGAACGAATCACCCTTGGGTCAGATATCCATTTCTGATCCAATCAGAAGTGGGAATTAAGGCACAGGACACAACATGGTCCCCCAGACCTGCTCCTACCAGGGGCTAGGGGTGGGCAAAACAAAATGAAAGAGGTACAGCATGCTAAAATGTCACAGAGAAAGATGAGAGATGCAAATCGAAAAGGCAATCCAATCAATAGGAAAACAACTGATTTCAAAGCGAAATAGATATTAATTCCGTGGTGCTTATAAACCCAAAAAAACCCAACAGGCTTAGCTTCTGAGGAGGTATTCAACAATGACCAAAGTTTCTTCCAATATGTACATGAAATAATACAAATACAGACGTATAAATACTGTTTCTCCCTACCTTAGACTGACCACCTTCCACCAGTCAACCTTCTAAATACAATTTTAAGTGAACACAATTCACTTTTTCTTGTCCATCCTGATTCCGTTAATTTAGATGTTCAGAGAAGTCTCTGGTGAGTTTAAGAGATGACATTATACCTACTTGTCACCTCTTACAGCAGAGGTACTTGCATACAGAAGTGGATATGCTTCCACATATCCTAAGTAAGGCTTTGCAATTGGAAACGGTATTCATCCAAGTAAGTGACCGTCTAACAAAAAACTTGCAATGATTTTGATGGACAGGTTTACCAGTACTCCACAAAGAAAAAACAATGTTAAAAGATTAATGGCAGGTTTCCCACCGAAGAAACATTCCAACTACAAAATTACTCTCACAACAATGAATACTTTAGAGCAATGGATACATGATATTTTAAGTCATTTCTGACACAGGTAGTTAGGAGCCCACCCAACTCATGCTCCTGTTTCTGGAGAGCAGCTGGAGACCCCAGGACTAGAAATTCTTGCCCCCCTCCCATCTGGGAGAGGCAGGTGAGTGGTTCTCACCAATGGGCTGTGAGTATAGTGAGGCAGTTGACAATGAGGCCACAGGGGGTGGATGGCAGGGCTCTCAAGAGAGAAGCTGGGTCCTTACTCGCTGCATGAAGGAGGAGCAAAGAAGCAGCCCCGTGACCAGGACCCACCACCTCTACCTGTTGCATGAATGAGAAACAGATTTCTACTGTGTTAAGTTGCTATATTGTTGGAGTTTATTTGCAACAGTGACTACTGTTTCTTTTAAAGACACTTCCCTAAAAACGTAGTGTCAAAAACAAACATAGAACAAGATGACAGGAAAGTATAATGCATTTCTGAGAAATGAAAGTTGACTTATAAAGTTTTATTTATTTTTTTTCACACACTCACTTATATTTTTAAATATGAAAACAATCCTAAGGTGGATAAATTATTCTGTGGTCAAATGACTATATTTTGTTTTGTTTTGTTTTAAAATATTTGATCATCTCAAACCAACCCCTAATTGAATTATCATTCTATCTATGGATGTGAAATATTTTCCCACATGGGAATTGTATGTGTAGTTGATGCATGAGGAGCAATTTTATAATTTACCATGATATAGTGGGAAACAATATACGTTACATTGAAATGTTCTGTCTTTCATTTCTAGAACCTACAACTCTGGATCATTTAGGAAAAAAAAAAAATCCAAACTGAGACACTATGATGTGACATCTGATTGCCAGCAAGCAGACCGGATGCAAAACCTTCCTGTGTGGAAAATTATGCATCATTTGCTTTCGGGCTGGTGTTAATTTTGTTAAAAGAGTTTCGAGTACCAACCAGGCCATTCTGAACACCGTTTGAACATCTCATGTCAGGTCGGGTACGATCCCTTCCCCACATCTGAACGAACGCTCCAACCCCACCGCCAGGCTTCGAAGGAGAAGACAAACACTATCTACTCCCACCAGCAACGCAAAGCACAGAAGTGGACAAGGCGGGGCGCCCAGTACCTGATGCTGCTCATGCTGCCCGTCTCCGACCCCAGCTTGCATCGCTCCAGCTGGCTGGCTACGATTTGGCGTTCTGCCTCCAGCTCTCGAGTCAGTCTTTCAAACTGTAATTCCTAAAAGAAAGACACCCACATGATTAATTCTATCGTTCATCTAAAAAGTGGGATTCAGGCCAAAATGACAAGACGGTCAAGGGGAAAAATCTGATTTACCAAGATGCTAAATTTGAGCAGTGGAGGACGTCGCTGTGGAATCAAAGATGAATTTGAAGTTCAGACAGAGTTGGAACCTGAGTTTCCATCACAGTCATGGGACCGACTAGCCACAGGCCTTGAATAAGTTATTGAATCTAAGTATCAGTTTCATCATCTACAAAATGGGTTTATAATACTTATTTCATAAGATTGAGGTGAGGACTAAATGAGATATTTTCCATGAAAAATTAGCCTGAGCTATGTTTGGAAGGAGGCCAGCACCCAACAGATATTAATACCCTTGTCACACATTTAATAAAGAAATAACTCACTTTTCTATCAGTTGGAGTATCGTATTTATTTCCTACTGGACTTCTAGCTAATTTGATCCTTGTCTTATTTACATAATCTTACAACTACACTCCGTTATGCTTTAAATTTCAGTGGAATAGCCATGATACAGATGCTATCCTGTACAGTTACTAAGGGAATAACCTTTAAATTTTGCTATATCGCCTTTAAAAATGGCCAATTAAACCAATGACGAATACGTCTACAAAGCAGCCCGAAATCCACTGTTTCAGGATTAACTTTATTGAAAAATGATCCAACCTGTACACCAGTGATGGTAGCTTTGCAACTCCTGGGATTTGCACCATAGTTTAGCCTTTATATTTTACTTTCCTGTACCCTTAAGTTTTTAAATAAATGTAATTGCAGTAAAGCAAGTGTTTTAAACTAAAATTTTCAGGAAATAATTTTACAATGTCCCTTTTAACTTTAAAAAAATTATCTGCACGGTTATGTTTTGGAGACGGAAAAACAAGAATGTTGAAAAATGCTGAAAAATACGGAAACGTAGAGTTGAGGTCAGTTTTGGAAAACTAAAACTCCCAACATGGCCGGGATCGATCCGCCTTCCCAGAAAAGATGAGTTAACTTTACTCGCTACCCTGGGACGCTCTCAGGCGAGACCTTTAAAAGGTAGGCTCAAGTGTGTCCTCTATTTGTGTTAAAAATACCTTTGCTCTTTTCCATAAGAGCGGATTTTATTTTTTTATGTTGACATTATTTAGGGGATCTAAGTGAGAGACACTCCACACATGTGGGCTCAAATTTTCCCTTTAGGGGCTGAAACTGAAGAAGCATGTTGTTTGAGATCAAATTTTTATTCTTATATATTGTGATAGGCAGCAAAGGTTCTTTGTAAAGGCTCAATACCAAGACCTCTCCCGAATGCATTTTGTGCAGTTAAGCTTCCCTTCTTTCTTCGAGTTCGACTGCTTTCAGTAGGCAGTTTCTTTCCCCCAAAAAACAGCAAGTTTTAGTAGACTTGATATTTCCGAGCTTTATAATGTGTTTTATCTTAAATCTGTCTGCATAACAGGAAACCGACTCATTCATATTTTTGAGTCGATGACAGCTTAAAAAGGTAATACATGACGATAATATAAAATTCCTCATAGGTAGATAGATGTTCATTATTTATATCATTTAAGGGACCTGACTTGGCTACATGTTTGTTACGAATAGCACGAAAAGTGAGACAATGAAGCAATCTGCGTCATAAACCTTGGAGCTCCGTTAGCACAGCCCTCGGGTGAGCTTGCCGAAGGCTGTGGCTTCGCTACACTGTTCCTTCGCTTCAGTCTCATGGGAGGCGGATGACAAGAGACACTTTTTCATGAGCAAGCTCCTTCCAAACACATAGTTACCGCCCCTCACTTCGTGTAGGTCTGTATTTCCATCTGGCATTACTTTCCTTCTGTCTGAAAGGCTTCCTTTAATATTTTCTGTGATATGGTTCTTTTGGTGATGAATCCTTTCAACTGTTTACGTGCCTAACATCTTTATTTCGCCCTCATTTTTGAAGGACGTTTTTACTCCACTGTCCTCTCGCTTGCATTGTTTCTCACAAAAAAACCTACGATGTTCCGTATTGTTGTTTCTTTGTATATGTAGTGTCTTTTTTTCCCTCCGATTCCCTTACAGACTTTCTCTTTGTCACTGGTGCTGAACGGCTTGATTGTCATGTTCCTCGTGGTCATCTTCCACATGTTTCTTATGCTTCGGGTTCATTAGGTCTCCAATCTGTGGATTTATAGTTTCCCACAAATCTTGAAAATTTACAGCCATTAATTTCTTCAAAATATTTCTCTTCTCCGCTCTCTCTTCTTCTTCAGTGACTACAATTAAGTGTATGTTAATTTTATGTTGACATTGTCCCAAAGCTCATGGATTCTTTTCTCATTTTTATTAATTTGTTTCTCTCTCTTTGTATTTCTTTTGGGATCATTTCTATTGGGGGTGTCGAGCTAACCAGTCTTTTCTTCCGCAATGTCTAATCTACCATCGACCCCACTGAGTGTATCTCAGACACTGATGAATGAGTAAGTACAACACTTCCAGAAATTTCATTTGGGCCTTTTTTTTAATGGCTTCCATGTCTGTACTTAACATTTTGAACACATGGAATACACATATAAAAACTGTTTTGATGTCCTGATTCTAGCATCTGTGTCAGTTTTGACTGATTGATGTCTGTCCTCAGTGGACCTGATTTCTGGTCCTCTGAATGTGTGGTGATCTCTGAATATAAATCGTTGTGCTCTGGGTATCTTTGTATTCCGACAAATATCTTACGCTCTGTTCCGGGGCACAGTTAGTTACGTGGAGGCGATTTGATACATGTGAGTCTCGAATTTACTCCTTAAGGGTAACATAACAGCCTTTAGTGTGGGGGGCTAGTTACTCTGCACTGCCTAGGCAGGCACTTCGTCCTGCGAATTACGGGGTTTCCCAGTATAGCTGGTGGGTGCAGGCATATACCCCTGGTTGTGGTGTGAGCACCAGGGGCTATTTCCTCTCATCCTTCCAGATGGTTCTTCCCCTTTCCTTGCACATGGAGGCTGCTTAGTTCTCCACCAATTAGCAGAAGGGGACCTTTTGCAAATCTCAAGGTTTCTCCTTTTGATCACCTTCCTTCTATTTCGCTTTGCAGATTCTAGCCACCTTTACCCACCTAGATACTCAGTGCTGTCTCCACATCTCAAGCAGTCTCCTGGGCTCTGCCTGCATCTCTCTTCTTTGTACACTATCCTGAGGACACTCGCTCAAGCAATAAACTGGCTCACCGGCAGGGCTCGGCTTATTTGCTGTGTCTCTTAGGAATCACTGTCCTTCACTGCCTGAAGTTCAGTGTTTTGAAAGCTGGTGTTTCATATTTTTTGTCTGTTTGTTTTTCCGTTGTTCTTTCGGGTAGAAGGTATTTTCATGTCCAGTTACACTATCTTTGCCAAAAGCTGGAAGGTTTTAAGAATTAACAATTTTTTTCCTCATGTTTGTTAAATGCATGCTTTCCACTGTATGTAAAAATTTGCGCTAAGTGAAGTACTAACTAGTTAAGTACTTAAAGTTTTACACTTTAAAAGAAGATGTTTGCTATTATGGTATTAAAAATAAAGGTTACTTTTGGGTTGTTTCTTTTATTTGCCTGATAACTTTTTAATTGAAATGACATTTTCTTTATTAAGGAAACTGAATCAATGTGTTGCCTTTTTAAAATGGCCATTCAATAAATGTTTACTTTGTCATTGTGTATATGAAACAAGCTAGGATTTAAGTGAATTATCCCTCTGTGCTTCACTAAGGAGTATATAGTAAATGTCACATTCCTCAAGGAGCAAGGAAGTTTCGCTTCTTCATCTAAAATCTTATACTTTATTAATATAACATAAAACATAATAAAATTGGAGGCTAAAATTATTGAGCACTTACTGTTGAGTGCTTAGTGACTAGAATGGTATGTAAGGAGGACATTTTCCTGCTGGGCTGCTATTCTATCTAGTGTCTAGAGAAGTCCTGGCACATAGTAGGCACTTAATAAATACCTGTTAAGTCAATGTATGTGCACAGAGCTAAATGCTTAACATGTATCACCTTGTGTAAACTTCATAAAACTATTTCCTAGGTTCTGTTTTGTCTTCACTTTACAAAGATGTTAAGGTTATTCAGGTGAAAAGCTTAGCCTTGGCCAGAAAAGAAATTCTTCCTTCAAAAGAAGGAAAGAGAATGAGATCAAAGGTGATGTTTTAAGAGATCTGGACATAGAGAGTGGGGATGCTGAAGGAATTAATGAATAGTGGATGAACTAAATATCCCCAATACTTTCAATTCTTTTGTTTTAGAGACTATAGCAGTCCATTGATGTAGAGAACCTATGATGCCACGGTAAGCTATCATTAACATTCACACTAAGATTCATTATTTAAATGATTTTTATTTCTATGAAATCTAGAGAGCAGCTTCGGAAATGCCTTCCTGTATTACTGCTCACAGTACAGTTAAGTCCTACCTTACCCCACCGAAGAGCCTTAGGCTCATAGAGAGGTTTTCGTCACATCTCATCCCTGGGGTTCGGAACTCTGAGGACCCCAGCTGGTCCTGGTGTGGCATTATGCTTGGAGCTGATAACTTACCACCAGAATTGAAAACTAGTCTATGGCCATGCTACCCTGAACAAGCCCGATCCTGTCTGATCTTGGAAGTTAAGCAGGGTCGGGCCTGGTTAGTACTTGGATGGGAGACCACCTAGGAAGACCAGGTACTATAGGTGTAAAAAATAAGGGATTGTAAGTTGACAAGGTCCTTGAAATCGGTGAGGTCAACCAAGGGTTGCCTCGGTTAAAAAAAATTTTTTTTAAATAATAATTGAAAAATAAAGAGCTGAAACTGTGGTTCTCAAACTTGGGGCAGGCATCCTCACAACAACGAATGAGCTTCTGCTCCCCGGGGGTACCCAGACTGCGGTGTGGGCAGAGAGATGACATTCTTCCCGTGCTAACTCAGTTCAACCTTTGAAAGGCGGGAAGACCTCCCACGACCGAATAATTTCCTGGATTTCTCACAGACTTGGAGGT